TTCTGTGAAGCCGAAATTGGAAATATTCATTTTAAATACCACCAATCTTCTTCAGATGACCTAAATTACCGAATTCACCCAATGACTAACTTGCCAGAACTGAAGATTTCGAAGCCTCCCATTGTCAGTGAAGTGAGTTTAAAAGGTATAAATCTAGACGAAACTAAACAATTACTTCAACTAGTAAAACTTAGCAAAATAAATCTCAGTGAAAATGCAAGTGCTATTAATGTTAAAAGTGTGAGTTTAGGAACGATAATTTTGTATGTAATTCTATCAATTATTTTCTGTATTTTTATTATAATTAGACATAAACTGTGTGTAATTAAGCGAAATCATCGGATTCCTGAAAATGCCGATAATTTCGCTCTTGAGGAGGGAAGAGTCATGGATTCGACCCCACAGAGTGATACAAGTACGTGCATAAATACTATTGCTGACTTTGCACCCAGTGTGTGGCCTATATCGTGTCACTTGAGTAAGCAAATGTAATAGAGTCTGGATGAAAGATGTATTAGAATAAGTTTGCCATTGTCGAAGTACATGAGCTTCTGTACGGACATCTCTTAGTTTTATTTTAGTTTTTAAAAACGCCTCCACCGCTCCCGTTAACTTGACTAGCTCGCCTTTTGTACAAATATTTGGTGCAATAAAGAATAAATAAATAAATAGGATGTTTCGCAGATGTGTTTTTGATTATTGTTAATTTTTACGTGTCACGTATTGAAAAGTAACATGAACGGGACTGTCCCTTTTCTCGGTCACCTGTCCCATTGTCCCCAAATAAAGCTCCGGGACAGAAAAATTGTCCCGTAACCCGTAACCGTTGGATGGAAGTATTCAAAGCCAACAATCTTCAACATAATTTTTTTTAATCGAATATATTTTATGTCTACCTGGTACAAATGCTCCAGTAGAAAGAGTATTTTTCTATTTTGAATAAATTGTGGACGTCTGAAAAAAACACTTACGGTTCCAGTTCTAAATGCGATGTTGTTAACAAAGGTAACAATAAAAAATACTTTTTCAGAATTTTATTCTTATTTAAAATCATCACCAACTTTATTAAAGCAAAGTTAATCCACTGACAAATGTAATTAATAATTTAAAAAATATAATTTTATAGTGAACACTAATTGTATAAACTGTAACTTTTACTCTAAATAACTCTAAAAGCTATAACTTTATACAATTTTGCGGAATTTTGCCCCCCCCCCCCCCCCCAGAATACGCGGGGCAGCCTGAGCAGGCACCCACGCTCAGGAGTGGAATAACATGGTCGTGGATGCTCAGTGAGGGATTCTCCAGGGGTGCTGGTACTCTCCTGGGGTAGTGTAACGTGTAATTTCGCTACCATATTGATGGGGGGGGGGGGAATTGGGCCTCCGGCCACCTGCATTCACCAGACGAAACGCAGAAGCAGAGCTTCCACTTCACGCCGGTATTATGTGAGGTCGTGGTACCAACCCGGCTCGAGCCGGCCCATACGTGCAACAGCAAAAACTGCTGCGTGGCTCTACCACCGTTAAATGAATTAGTCGCCTATAAGCCGACTTACCCGACCGGGCCTTATTAGACGACCATAGACCAAATTAAACGCCCCATTCAAACCAAACCTTACATGCTAATGGTGCTTAATTTTTATATTTGCATTTACTTCAAAGAAAATACAAGCAAACAGCTTCATCGCGCAGTAAAAAACACAACAAATATATGTACAACTAATACGAAAAATTATACCCAAAACAAACAAATAATACTACCTATAAATAACCTAATAAGTAATAATATTATAATATTATCGATTGATAAGATGACGTGAGCGTATGCGGTGGCCGACGCTGTGACAAACGACACGGGTTTCACCTTCAAGAGCTTAGCGCTCACTGACTCCAGCAACCTTGTGGGCAGTGAATACGTCCAGTTTTTAAAATAATTTCTTAATAAAATCAAATTTAGGTCTTTTGAAAAAAAAATTTATGATAGAAATATTCATTAATAAATTGCCTATCCATTAGTGTCAATCGCAAAATAAAATAATGCTTACTTTACGGGGAGATGCATGTTATCAATAATTATTTCACATTTATATGGTTTCGTTGTAAGGAGATTATTTTAATATTTACTCCTTTTGAAAAAAATTGGATATGACTCTTATGGAATCAAGATTATGTAGAAATATAATGTGTTTTTTATTAGTTGATATATATTTTTAATAAAAAGTAGATAGCTCCTAAAAACTGCACAAATAACGACTAGCGCGACATTTTGCTCAACCATGCGCCTTAAGGGTTCTTCTGTCTTAAGTTATTACGTAATTAGCTAACCTAACAACATCTTATAGTGCCCATATCAATATTTAAAATCTTTTATGTTTTAAATAAACAAATTGACTTGGCCATCGCACTAAACAATCTAATTAAATATAATATGTATTACTTGAGAGATACATTGTGTTTTCATGCAAATGGCAATATTTGTTTAAAATATAAAAGAGTTTTAATATTGATATGGTCACTATAAGATGTTGTAGGTTAGCTAATTACGTATTAAGACAGAAGAACCCTTAAGTAGGGACTGAATAAATTAACTGACTTGGTATTACATGGATCTCACAACTTTTTAAGGTAAAAGAACTGAGTTGCGAGACTTGGTTTTTTTTACAAGTTATGTTTTTGATGGCATATGTTAGTCTTGACGGAAATCTTTATGTTAGCAATAGAAAACAATTTTAGTAGTCCAGTCGTTTTGGAGATTAGCGGAACAAACAGACAGACAACAGTGGTAGAGCCACGCGGCAGTTTTTGCTGTCGCACGAATGGGCCGGCTCGAACCGGGGTAGTACCACGACCTCACAGAAAACCAGCGTGAAGTAGAGGTTTACCTCTGCGTTTCGCTTGGTGAGTGCAGGTGGCCGGAGGCCCTTTTTACTGGAAATGAGGCATTCCATCTTAGTCCTCACGGGTGACAACGCATCTACATTTTGATTTGTAACAGAGGATAGATGTAGATGTCTATGGGCCGCAGCAACCACTTACCATCATGTGGACTGTGTGCTCGTTTGTCACCCTTATCCTATAAAAAAAAAAGACAAAATTTTTAAAAATTGTTACTTGTTATAAGTACCATATATACTTTCATATGCATTTAGTAAACAGCAGTTATTTTGACGTTACAAAGAGACACTTTAAGTTCCGAGAATCAGCCCAGATTAAATGGAAGAAGTCTTGGAAAAAGTGCAAAGATATTCCTCAACAAGTACGGGAGTTATTGGCCGTCGCACAAGTCGTCTGTGCACAGAATTCTGCGAGCGGAGGGCATGCACCCGTACCACGTAAAAAAGTGCAAGATTTACTACCTGCGGACTATCCACGGTGTTTTAGGACATGATAATTAGATGCGACGTAGATGAGAACTTATAAGTCAACCTTTAGCCGGAGTGGAATATTTAAAATGCGCACTTACCACTTGTGGAGTTTTGAAAACCCACATGCGATTCGCCGCCACAATTTTCAACAACAGTTTAGTGTTAATTAATAGACAGGAGTATTCAACAATCAGCTCACCAGACCGTTCGAGTTGCCATACCACTTCGCACGGAATTTAAAGGAATATTTGGATCAAATTTTTGAATGTAAATGAATAGGCCGTGATGGGCCAATAGCCTGGCCTCCAAGTTCGTCAGAGCTCAACCTCTTAGATTTTTTCATGTGGTGATATCACAAAGAGCTGGTGTACGAAAGCGAATACACCTTTATCGAACAATTACGGCTGAAACTGAACGGCCCAAATGAAGATAAGGGAAAAAGAAGAATCATTCCGCAGATTCAAAAGAAATTTTTAAAAAGATGTAGGCTATGTATCGCTAATAATGGAGCCCACATTGAACATTTACTTTAAATAAGCGTGTCTAATATTTTAAGGGTACATATTCGTGCGTTTTATTTGACTCATTTCTGTCCTTTCGTATATTAATTTTTTGTTATTCTACTTACTAGCGTAGCATACGCTTAACAAAATAAACTTACTTACATTTTTAGTAGACTTTAGATTAAAGAAAAAACTGTCGATTATTGGCACATGTGGTTTAAGTACATTTTAACATGATGGTCTAGTACTAGTGAAATTAAATTTTCAGGGTTAATTCTTCATAAAAGCCAGTAGTTTAATCAATAAATTATAGAAAAAAAAAAATACTATGCGAGTTATTCTTTTACAACCATAGACATTTAATATAAGCATGAGAGTTTGAAAAAAAATATATTATAACTTATTTATTTGGATTTTTATAAAAATAAGACTGATTGGTGTAAGGGTACAAAAGTCCCTTTGTTTATCTTGTATGAAAAAAAATCACAGTAGCAGACCTAACTGTTTGTCTACAATTGCGAAATTTAGGCTGAAATCTGATTTAGATTAAAATTTTACTACAGTCCAAATAACTTTTGAACCACTGAATATCGCAAAACATACAGGAGAGTTAATTTTTTTTTTAATAGAATATGAGTGACAAACCAGCACACAGCCCACCTGATGGTAGGTGGATACTGTGGCCCATAGACGTCCACATTTATCCTCGATCAAGAATCAAAATGGAGATACGTTGTCACCCCTGAGGACTAGATGTAATGCCTCGTTTCCAGTAAAAAGGGTTTCCGGTTTCTCTACACTCACCATACGAAACACAGCAGCATTAAGCTGCTATTTTATGCTGGTATTCTATTCTGTGAGAGCGTGGTACTTCCCCGGTCGAGCCGACCCATTCGTGCTACAACCATAATATCACTACAGCGTGGCTCTATCACTTTAAAAAAAATGGTAGGTACTGAGGTCCTCCACCCCCCAGCCACCGATAATTTCACTTCATATTAATACAAAAAAAAATATACGGTGGAATTGCAACCACTAGTATTTATAAATACATAGTTCAATTGTTTCACTATTTTATTTATCTAACAATAGAAAAATCAGTCAGTTAATTAATGACAGTAATTAATTACCTTTCTCGATAATCTCTGCCGTCACCCATTTCACGTCGCTTCGGTGGTGCTCTCTCCTCGTATTGATTATAACGGTTATAACCTAAAAATATTTGGGATTATAAAAAGCTAGCCTTTTTTAAAATGATCTAAAAATAAATTAATAAATCCAACCAATAATATATTACCTCGTGGATCTTCTCTTGAATGATATGCATCTTCTCGTTGCCTTCTGTTGTAATTCTCTTCGAATCGACGCTCGTCGTATTTGGGATTCCTAATAAAAGAAATATTTTCAACATAACTCTTAATAGTTAGGAACAAAGTGTTATTTGTTTCTATGAAATAATTTAACGCGAAACCATTGGAATCTACAACAAACTTCACACAAGTTACGGTTATCCAGGGACCACTTTAATTTTTTAACAGTAATACAAGAATTCTAAGTTACTTTTTTTCCTTGTTTCTTGTTACAAAGTCGCGGATACAACTAGTATTAAATAAAATCATAATGTGCTAATAAAATTAAATCTGTGTAGTGCTAGTGGTCCACATCGGTCTCGCACATGCGAGATTTGTAGACCCATCAGAACAACTCTTTTTTAAATGTTATTTATAAGAACTATACAACTATAATTCTAAAATTTTATTAGATTTAGTCTCCTTCCTAATTACGAGAATTAAGATTATACGAGAAATTAATTAAGAGAATTGACTTCAATTGACGACCTTCCGCTATTATGCTACTTTACTATTAGAACTACGTCGGCTTCGTAGGTCGATGTAGTACCTAAGTAGGTACAAACCCGTCTAGATGGCACTGTTACAGAATTATTTCATTTGTAAATTTGTTTTAAAAGATTTCTACCTTAGAGTTGCCAATCTATTTGAAAACCTCTAAAATGAGAGTATTCAACTATTGATTTTGTATCTATCTATTGATTTTAAAATACTGTTTTTTTGCTAATGAAATAATTCTGTAATAGCGCCATCTACACGGTCTGTCAAGGACTACATCGACCTGCGAAGCCGATGTAGTTTATTCAATGGTTTTGTCATGAACGCCACATAGGTTCTATATATTATTAGTTGACAGGGCCAGGTTTTGAGAATCATATGAGAAAAATATTATAGACCTTGGCCTGACCACAGGCCTGACGGAGTTGGTCCAATACAATGTCGGGATCTGAGAGGTTAATAAAATGCAAGCAAGCCAAGTTCTGCTGCTCTCAATGCTGATTTACTACATGCTCAGCAATGTTTACATAATGAGAAAACTGCATGTCTGAGAAATAAAAAAAAAATATATTTCGGAGACATGTGAAGTCAACACGCATTGTGGCAGCGCGGCGGGCACTTCCTTGCCCTAAAACCCTCTCAGAAATGAGAGGAGGTCTGTGCCCAGCAGTGGAACGTATATAGGCTGTTACTTCAACTTTTAACTTTTAAACCAGGTTCAAATGCCTGTGCCAATGTCACTCTACAATAGAACAGAATGTACTGTGTTCCAGTTAGAAAGGTATAAATAAATACGAGTACAGATTAATAAAAAAAAACAGTATTCATCATTTGTAATTTCAAAAAGTAGGGGATTATCAATTAAATTCTATTTCCTTTTTTAATGCACTTCTGTAACATATTAAGTTAAGGGTTAATTAAGTAACAGAATTTGCCGTTTTCTTTTTTATTGAGTTTATTTTCACTTCCGAGTACGCATAAGAAAGCTATCGCTAAGTATCGCTCATTGCCCATTATGCCAAGCGTAAACAGTATATGTACCTATACTGGATGACTTTTTTTACCGTCTGGAAAAAAATAGGATGTAACAAGTGAATGAAGTATAAGCCTATGGCACTGATATTTTACGTTTGGTTAGTCCATTTGATCGCTACGACGCCACAGACAGACACAAAGACACACGATAAACTTATAAAACCCTTTTTCATTGGGGGTTTTGTTTGTTTGATCGCAGTTTTACGAATCGACCATACCAATCGATCGATCGCCGATCGATGGCAACGAGCGATGATAGAACGGATTAGTTGACGTCGATCGAGCTGCCCCACCGACCGCTATTTAAAATGTCGTTTAGATTAAATAAGCCATCTCTGGCCTTAAAAAACGGACGCATCCATTCTCCTGCGTATGCGTCTCCGTAATAATAATACGAGCAAGAGCGTACTGGCCAACAATAACACGACCTCTTCTGAATATATTTTGATCGATAGATACTGATGATGAGTCCACAATCACATCGATTAATTGTCGATCGATGATTGAACTACGTTTTATCGACCAGTATCCTAAAGTGAGCTAAAGCTACCACAATAATTGATCGACGATCGATCGATTGGTGTGGTAATACTCTAAGATATTTAATTCTATTATCAATATATTTTCGAATGAGATCCATTAGTATTGAAAATGTAATTACGTAGGTACCTATCTACATAACTGGCTCCTAGTTGAGCTTTTTATTGCTAGAATCCATTTAAGAGGGCGGTTTGAAAATTTCTCGGCACGACTAATAAAACTGAAAATAAAATTAAAAGAAATGTTTCATTTTTCTTCATATTTTCCCCTTGTCTCAAAACACTTATTCAATCTTTGCTCCAGCGCTTCTATGTCGCTCTTATTGGCCGATTCCTCCAACTCTACAAAAAAATCTGGTCCACCTCAGCCATCACCTGTTCGTTTGTGGAAAACATACCAGAACTTAAGTTACCAGATGGTATACCAGCTATAGTCCTAAAGGCTTGTGCACCTGAGTTGTCTCCTGTGTTGACACGCTTGTTCCGCCTCTCATTTAGTACTGGAATAGTGCCAAAATCCTGGAAGCTGGCCAATGTGCAACCTATTCCAAAAAAAGGCACCGCGCCGACCCTGCCAATTATCGGCCAATCTCAATTACCTCCATACTCTGCAAGATTATGGAGCGTATATTGAATGTCCGCTTAATGGCATACCTAGAACAGAATTACCTCTTTAGTCACCGGCAATATGGGTTTCGCCGAAATCGGTCAGCTGGGGACCTTCTAGCGTATGCCAGACACGTATGGGGCGAGGCACTCGAGAACAGTGGGGAAGCACTTGCTGTTTCCCTTGATGTCTCGAAGGCCTTTGACAGAGTTTGGCACACTAGCCTTTTGGGTAAGCTTCCAGCGTACGGCTTATCCCCTGGTCTGATTGAATGGGTAAAGGACTTTCTGAGTGAACGGTCTCTCCGGATCGTCGTCGATGGCTGCTCATCCGATCATATGGCGACTTACGCTAGTGTTCCTCAGGGGTCCGTTCTCTCCGCAACTCTTTCTGCTGCATATTAATGATCTGCTTATGCCCGGTATCTATGGATATGCAGACGATAGCACAGTTGTTGAGAGATACCAACCAAGTCCTCGGGCCAGTCGGGATCAAATCCAGTCCGAAAGAGAAGCTATGGTAGAGCGTCTGAATCTCACACTACAGGCAGTCTCTGATTGGGGCGATGCCAATCTTTTGAAGTTCAACGCCTCGAAAACACAAGCGTGTCTCTTCACTGCAAAAAGGAGCCAGCTCACCTGGGCTCCTTCTTTCCGAAACGTATCACTGAAATATACCGACCGCCTTCAGTTGTTAGGGTTTGAAATATCCTCAAATTTGAACTTCGGGCGGTTCATTGAGTCCAAGGCCAAAGCAGCTGCAAGGAAGCTGGGAGTCCTTGCAAAGGTGCGGCGATACTACACGCCGGGACAGCTGCTTACTTTATATAAAGCGCAAGTCCGGTCGTGCATGGAGTATTGCTGCCATATATGGGCTAGTGCTGCAAAATGCCACCTAGCAGCTCTGGACTCAATGGAAAGGCGTGCTAAGAGGCTTATTGGTGACCCAAATTTGGTTAAAACCAATCTTACCAGTCTCGAACACAGACGTAAAGTAGCCAGCCTTTCGGTTTTCTACAGGATGCATTTCGGAGTGTGCGCAGGAATTACATAATTTAATTCCCCCCTCTCCCTTCCACCATCGGACAACAAGACGTTCGGCCAGTCTCCACCCTTTCGTTGTTGACTTACCACGCATTCGAACCAAACGGTTCGCCATCTCGTTCATCATGCGTACAGCAAAGGAGTGGAACAAGTTGCCAGCATCTGTCTTTCCATCCAATTACAGTGTGGGTGTCTTCAAGGTAAGAGTGAATAGGCTTTTGTTAAGTCAGTGCGCTTCACGATCTTAGGCTACATCACCACTTACCACCAGGTGGGATCGTAGATAAGCGCTAGCTTAGTAGAATATTAAAAAAAAACTTTCTTCCAACCAGGTGTTTTTTTCAATTTATCGAAAAGGAAATAGTCAATTTATGGAACAGGAAATAGTCCGATAGTGCTAAATCAGGCGAATACCAGCGTAAAGCTTTTTTTTTTTAAATATATAGGATGATTTAATATTTTAAAACAGAGTTCATGGAGCTTAGCTATTGCAACAACAGATTTGTGCCGTTACATCATTACCGTTACAGCCTATTAAAATTCACTGCTGAACATAGGCCTTCCCCATAAATTGAACCCCATTGATCCCACATAGGGGGGCGACTGACTTGTGCGTCGGTGCAATATCCTGATGAAAATTTATTTCCTTTTTGGCCAATCCCGGCCGCTTTTCACGAATTTTGTCCGCTAATTTATCTAACAGGTTAGCATAGTATGGGCCTGTTATAGTCTGCCATTTGGGAAGGTAGTCGATAAAAATAAATCCCTTGTAACCCTAAAACATTGATGCCATCACTTTTTCCGCCGACTTTTGCGACTTGGCTTTCTTCGGTCGATCGCTATGTTTCCACTGTTTTGACTGTTATATTGTCTCAGGAATATAGTCACGAATCCAAGTTTCATAAGTGGTTATAAATCTTAAAAAGTCGCTAGTATTTGATCGAATATATAGCACCCATACTTAGTAATATTATGAACTTCTATTTTGCTCAAAGAATTTTTCCTGCAGAATCAAGTATTCAATTCTACTTCTTCCATCTTCAAAAAGGGCGATACTAAAGATATTAATAATTATAGACTTCTTGGCTTGTTGCAATAGTACCCATTATATCAAAAATTTTTGTAAAGCAATACTAAAGAGACTTAATTACTTTATGTATAAATTTAATATTATTGTTGTTGTAATTAGTGTTCTGTAATTAAAGTCTCAATTTTGGTAATTTACTCGGCAGTTTTAAACGTCTCGAACTTCAAGCTCGTAAAATAATTAATAACGCACAAAATGGTTTTGTAAAAAATAAATCCACAACATTAG